TTGGACGTAGTTGTCCTCAACTCTGATGGTACTCTTAACGAACAAAACATTAAGATGTTCTCCTACGAGGCCCTTGGTGAGATGACCGCCATCGGAAAGGCTATCACCAAGACTCTTTACAGTATTGATAAACTCTATACTTACTTCTCTGGATGCTCTGACGGAGGACGTCAAGCTATGAGTCAAGTTCAACGTTTCGGAGATTTGTACGACGGTATCGCCGCCGGTGCCCCGGCTTTCAGACAAGCTCAGCAACAAGTTTTCCATCTATTCTCTTCCGTCGCCGAAGTTGTTCAAAACTACTTCCCGACCAATTGTGCTCTTGACAAGATTGTAAATGCTACTATTGAGGCATGTGATCCATTGGACGGGCGTACTGATGGGGTTATCAGTCGTTCTAATCTCTGTAAAATTAACTTTAACTTGACCTCTATCATTGGTCAATCATACGCATACGCAGCTGAGATAAGCTCTTCTCTCGGTTTTGGTTTCAGCAAGCGTCAAGCTGCAGGTTCTACCACTACCAGTAGCCCTGCTCAAAATGGCACCATTAATGAGCAGGATATTGCTATTGCCCAGACTATCTATGATGGTCTCTTTACTTCTAGTGGCAAGCGTGCATATGTCTCATTCCAAATTGGTGCTGAGCTTGAGGATGCTGTTACTGAGTATGACAATACCACTGGCAGTTACACCTACAAGATCCCAGGTACCGGTGGAGTTTCCGTTGCCAAGTTCCTTGAGCAAATTGATGAAGACAGTCTTACCACACTCGAGAATGTTGATTACGATACTTTGTTCGAATGGATGGAAGAGGGATTGACAAAATTCTACAACACCCTTCAAACTACCATGCCGGATATTTCCGCTTTCAGAGACAACGGTGCCAAGCTCCTGCATTATCACGGAGAATCTGATCCATCAGTTCCAGCTGGCTCTTCCGTCCACTACTATGACTCTGTCCGCACTACCCTTTATCCAAGCCTCGGATACAATGAATCTGTCGCCAAGCTCGATGACTTCTACCGTTTCTTCTATATTCCAGGAGCTGCTCACTGTAACACCAATTCTCTCCAACCGGGTCCATGGCCCAACGATGTTCTCGCCACTTTGATCAGCTGGGTCGAAGATAGTGAGGTTCCTGACCGTTTGAACTCCACTGTTACCTCTGGATCATACGATGGTGAGGTTTAATTGTTGTGCAAGTGGCCAACTCGCCCACTCTGGACTTCCGAGACCGCATTTGACTGCGTTTACGACCAAGCGTCCATCGACTCTTGGACTTATGTCTTCGATGCGTTTAACCAAACAATATATTAGATGGTGTGAACAAAAGTTTAATTGTCCGATGGAGGAGATTATCGAGCTTTCAAAACGTCTGCAAGAAGTGATCGGCTGTTTTCGTGGAGTAAATTTTTGAGTTACCCTGGACTTTTTCCTGTATATGTTCGAATTTTCCATCATTCCAATCCAAGTTTGATCAGGAGAGAAGGTATAAATTTTCCAAAACGCACCTTATCATACTTTGTATGTAATCATACTCTATTCATTCTACTTCAAACCAATTCCGAGATGCGTGGATCCCTGAGTCGTGAACCTAACCCTTCAATTCAAACAATAGATTCTGATTGCGATCATAATATTGGATTAGAAATTTTGGCAATTATGACGAATAAAAGTGAGTACGGAATCAGAAACAGACTTACTTCGCAGCCACTCATGTGCCTGGTAAACCCCAGAAAGAATTAAGTAAGCATATAAATAGACATTTCATTGGTACATTAGATGCTTCGAGCTCTTCCTCAGACTGATGGACCACGGGGTATAAATTTATCATCATATCATTGACTTTCCCATCCCTTCATATCTTCTTTGCAACCTCAATCTCTGCAAGCACAGTCCTCCTTCTCCCCACCCCTCCTCCACCCCTTCCACAAATTAGGACATCTCCATGCAATTTTTTGATTTGAACATCCTAGCAAGATCCCCCATAATCTCTCAACAGTATATCCTAAATGCGGTTTCTCTAAACTATCTTTCTCGCCAAACATCTTCGAATTCCTTCCTTCTGGACCCAATTTCAATCTATCGTGAGCCCAGCCCCTACTCAGTGAAGGGTTTGAGAGAGCATCATCCAGAGTTTCCCAGATGTCTTTCCCAACTCCCCGAATGCGCGCCGCTGAAGCAATGAAATTGTTCCCATGTGTTAAGATCACTTTTTGGCATCTATAAGGCGTCTCGTCCTTTCCAGCAGGACGAGATGCAGACCACATACTCGGGATGAGTCTAAATGTATCATTCCAGCCACTTTTATCATAACATCCATAACAATCACATGTTTCCAGTTCTCCTAAGTTGAGGAATCCAGTCAATATATCCGAGTTCTCTGCTGCTGGTGGTAGCTGAGCAGGGTTGTAATAATCGAATAATCGGCGACCGATGAGATCAAAATCATCGATTGTATGTTGAGACGTGGTGATGAAAAGAGTTTGAGTAGGTAAATTGTCCCAATTCTTTAATATATGATGAAGGAAAACGCCAGATGGACCTCCAACATTTGGAAGAGGAAATATATCCCCGAAACCCACTTCAGCTCGAATTTTCTTCACAATGTCTTCGGATGGATCTTTCGTATAGATCAAAACATCTGGCTTATGAGCCACAACAGCAGGCTGTGAACTCAAAATTCCTGTTACTATTCCTTTAATTGCAGGAATTGATTCACCAGTTGAATGGGCGATTACAATTTGTAGACGATTTTTTGTTGCCGCTCTGTAGATTGTATCCAGAGATGGAGACTTGGGGCCTATCCAAAATTTCTGGTTGTGGCGGATAGAGATTGTATCCATCCAGTAAAGTATCCCCATCGAACTCAGGATAGTGAATAAAATGGTGGTGGTCCAGAGTAATATGGGTTTATGCCATATTGAGTAAAGTTTTCGAGCTGGTATTCCAGATTTTCGTCGTATGGTGTAGACAAAATTCACGAATTTGGGAATGTAGAGGCTTATTTCTTTTGGCCCCAGACTAATAAGGTAGATAAGCATGAACACAAAGATTTGGAATCCGTTCATTGTGTTTTCTTCCTTGAATGTACTCATGAGCATTAGTCCCAAAGACAGATGAACTGTCGCATCAATTGCGTCGGGAACATTTTCTTCGGTGGATTCATAGGGTGACTTCGAACCGATAGAAAGTGCCAACGTTGATCGTAAAGGAGTATTCCAAAGAATATGAGTCAATGCTCCGGGGGTCAGATTCTTCACAAAGGTCAGGAATTCCCAAGTCCGAAGAACCGAAAATGCCTCTCCAAAGTCTTCATATCTGTACGCAGCGAAAATAGTGACGAGCAAACATGGAGGTAATCCACCCCAAAGCATAAAATAGAGTGAGGCTCCATAAGAAGGATTTCTGGGAGATGGTACTTGATATCCAATCGCTGCTATCGTCCTTGCCAGACTGACGAGAAACATACCGAGTATGGCAAACTGAAATGATTCGATATTGAGTCGATAATCATTGTAGACAATCATTGAGGCAAGACAAACGATGCCGAGAGCCCAAACAACAATGGCTCTGTCAAAGCCTTGATCACGAGGAAGTAATCGTAAGTCATACGCTAGACTAAATAGTAAAGCATCGAACGCATATGTGAGTATCTGTTGGAGTGTCAGAAAATGCGAACAGGAAAATGAAGAGTCTATGTACTAATAATGTAGCAAACACGGCCAAATTGTTGAAAAGCATGATCGCTTCCGCGTTGTATATTAAAGCGACCATCGAAATGAATACCGTGAGGCAGTATCTAGTAAGAACGAAAAGACTTTGCAAAAATGACGGACCGCGACTAGGGTTTAGATCCGGGACGCTCGTGAAGTAGTCGACAAAACTTGTCAAGACAGCGAAAATGCCCAAGCCAACGTATGCAGCGATTTGCAATAAAACGAGAAAACATATTGCTAGTCACGAGTAAGTCATCTGATTGAGAAGGGTAGTTCTTCTGAATGAAGAGAGGGATTTGAATCATGGAGGAGCAAAACTCACGGTATCCTAAAAAAGGACTGTCAGCATTGTTCAGGCAAAAAGAATTGAGTACAAAGTCCTACGAAAATCCGCGATCAGAAGCCTCCTCGTCGTGAGTATAGACCAAATACTAAATCCTATCCAGATCCTGGATTGTTCACTTTAGCCCTATTCAAACAAACCTCAAGAGGATATACATACCAAGGATTTATGATTCGCCATTTTCGTCTCCATCTTCCATTCTCCGGGCGGATCGGAATTTTCTCTAATGCTTCTTCCTCATCCCTTCTCATAAGTTCATAATCATTACTGCCATCCCTTTCATCAAGTTCCCTTTCTTCCATTGCTGCTACTACCACTCCCAATATTGGAGGATTTGATACACATCGCCTAGAGACTGTGGTTTGTTTTGTTGTTGTTATTGATGGTGATGTGAATAAACTTTGGTCCCACCCACTATCTAGTGTATATCCTAGTAAAAATCAGTGGACGGACGGCTGGTCTACTCTGTAGGACTGTAGAAGCAATTCTAAGAAAGATTTGATCAACAACCAGTGCAGTAAATGATACAAAATTCAATGTCTGGCTCTCGAACCCATTTCCAGGGACGCTTTGCTCAAGCCTTCAAAAGAAGAGTCGCTAGCAAGTCGCGATCAAGATTCAAGCTTCATCAAACGCGTAAGCTTCCAATCATTCTAGCTGGCCATTCACTATTGTTGCCCAGGTATTAAGAAATTAGACGTTACTGTGCGATGTAGGTACCTCTTCGACCTTCAATTTCTCTAGCAAGATTACATTTCATCACTAGAATATGGTAAATATGATTCGTGAATATTGGGTTGAGATGGGGATAATTTATTGTGATCACGTGATTCTAAGTCAATTTTGGAGTGCGTCCTGGCAAAAATTTCTCTTTCTCTAGATCACTCTCATCAACAACAAACAAAAGTTTCGATTACTTCCACAGAACTGAATCAATGGCTAAAGTAGCAAGACTACAAAGTCTACTTCCTCGATCACGAATTTTCCGAGAGGAAGATCCTTGGGCTCTTGTACGTTTCACGAAAGGCGGACCTAGGAAGCAACCTCGTAATGAGGCAGAATGGGCCCATCACTTCCTGAAGAAAAGCTCTCGACTAGTTTTAACACTTGATATGAGCAGTGAAGCAACATATTTTCGCAATCAACTCAAGGCAAAATATCTTCATCCATGGGGACGTTTTCCGGATACCCGATTCGAACTTATAGATCCCTTACCTGACCGCTACTTTTATATAAAGATGTACAAAGATACAATCAATGACTTTTGTGCAAAAGGTCGACCAGAATTTCCTGTCGGTCCAACATTGAACTTTTCTGTTTCCGAGCAATCTAGAATCTCTGGTCTGGTTAAGCAGGTATACCCAGAAATATTCATTCAGGGAATGCGGGTTATACCCAAGAAACCATCTGAGGGGCATTTCTTGATTATGACGAGTTTTCCCAAAGGATCGGTGGTTCACCTACTTCGTGATTATTTCATAAAGGAACTCGGCAAGTTTCCAAACGATGAAGTCCAAAGAGTAATGAAGAACGTGGGAAAGGAAAAATTCAAAGCTCAAATGCCATTAGGATACTGTACACATATGGGAAAGCTGCGTGCTGAAGAAACAAAGGACGAAATCGCGCGTGAATTTGTAGGAAGTGGGGGTCTTCACTTGGGCACTGCTGTGAGTTTAAGTTTATGGCGCAAGCATTACGACGAAGATCCGGAAGATAAATGGGGTGATCCGGTGCTGGTGGATCGAGAATGTTTATATTCAAAAGCGCTTGGAGAAATATCAAAAATGCCTTCATCCTCGTTTGTTTCTATCGCTCCCGAGAAACAGTTTACGAAGGAAACTCTAGAAAGCGGCGATGGTACCTAAAGTTTGACGTCAAGCTCCAATATTTCGAATTGAAGGAAGGTTGGACTGAGGAGAGTTTGATTCGAAAAAGAAATTAAAAATGCGCAAATTCATCTAAGAATTTGCAGTTGTTCATCAAAGAGGAAAACTGAAGGAACGGTCTGCGGTGAGAAGTACTGTCTCTTAGTATAGGCAAGGTTGACTTGGGTAGGAGAGCGTTGTTGAAGGACCCGCTGCAAGAAACCACCCAAGTCATCTCGAATTTGTTACGTGAGCACGCCCGAAGGGAATTTCTGGCAAGTTATGGATTGTATGAGAAGTTATGGGAGATGCAAAGCATAAGGCCATCACACAGAACGAACAATTTCCCCTCGAGTAATCAAATACAATTAATCCAAGGGATATAACCACCGACGGTAGTGCAGGATTGAGTGTGAGACAGGCTATACATGTTTGGTTAGGACGTCAATATTTACTATGTTAGTCAGTGATGAGGCTAAGATGGTATAATAGATGGACATAATTCTGATAGGAAACCATCTCCGGGAGATCAAGATTATTTCGAGAACTTAGTTGGCCAATATGCCCATTAACCTTCCATAGATGAGCCCAAGGAATCTCGCAAGTTTAGGGGAGAGTGAGGATACCATATGATTGTAGTGTGAATCCAGTCAGATGCATATCTTCAGAGTACATTGTGTTTGTCTTGGTTCTACCAAATTGTCCGCAATCTGGTATTGGAACATTTCCAAAGCAATTTGATAGATGCCGTGTAATTATACTAATTGACCAATATCAAATAAAGGCGATGGATATCCTGAGGATAGAAATAATTACAACGCCCACGAAGTCGAGAACATTGGTACAGAAATTTGATGGCGGGAATGGAGACAGCAAGAAATCACCAGGTGGATCTATTATTACTGTATCATGAATCGTGTAAATTCTAAAATCTATGTCTTTTGACTCTTATCTATCCCACATATCTACCTAGTATACAAATATTAATCGCTCAGCAAACTCCGTATGGTTGAGCCTCCTGGGTCCAATCAATGAACCCATACTCTTTATATTCTTTATCAGTAGCAATCTTTGCGCCCCAAACACCCATCTCTTTCTTGAAAATCTCTACATTCTTTTCAATGCTCAAATCAATAGGTTCCTGATCCTTTCCAACTTGTCTCATTTGGGTACCGGCCGCAATGTTAGTGAACAAGAAATCATTTTCATCCACAGCCACCTTCTTAACACCAGTAACTCTTCCCTCCAAGATATCCTTTGGAAGTCTGAACTCTTGAGCTGCAGGTCGTCCAATACCAACACCATCAACGGTATCCAATGCGGAAACCATAGCACCAACAGTCTTGAATCCACCAGTAACATATGCCTTGGTCTTAGTCAAAGGCTTGACAATCTCCTCTGCGAATTCAATAAAGAAGTTCTCTCTCTTCTTGGTTGACTCGCGCTTGTGAACAAAAGCAGTTTCTTGGTATGTTCCACCGGAAAGTTCAACGTAATCAAATCTTGCACCCTCGAGTGCTTGACAAGCAGCCTTAGCATCTTCAGGTGTGAACCCATCTTCTTGGAATTCAACACTGTTCATCTTGATACCAACGATGAAGTCTGGCTTGACTCTCTTATGGATTTCATCTGCGATTTCTTGAATGATACGGAATCTGTTCTCGAGAGAGCCACCATATTTGTCGGTTCTCTTGTTTGTAGTCTTGGAGAGGAATTGAGCGAGGAGGTAACCGTGGGCACCGTGGAGTTGAATTCCATCAAAACCGGCTTTCTCGAGGTATTCCGCTGCGTGAGCGAACTTATCGATTATACTGTCGATATCCTCTTGGGTTGCTGGACGTGGCTTATTATAGGACAATCCCATAGCATTTCCTGTACGATCATTCTTGTTAGTATAGACTCGACCAATACGTGAGATAACACTTGGAAAAAGCAGATGAGACAAACCTTCTAGCTGAACATCACTTGCAGAAATAGGATTTGGTTGAACCCTGTTCTCGACCTGGCGTCCAGGATGACTGACTTGGGCAACCATTAAACTTCCGTGAGCTTTTCCTGCCTTTGCCATTGCTGCGAATCTTTCGAATCGTTCTCCTTCGAATGGAGCTTCTAGTGGAATAATTGGGTTACCCATAGCTTCCAAATGATCATATTCAATCATGACGTTTCCAGTCAAGATTTGTCCGTATTCTCCCTCGCCCCATCTCTTGTAGACATTGACGAGGTTTGTGGATGGAATTCCTCTAGATTTGAAGTCCTTTGGGTCCCATGATGATTGACGTTCACTCATAGCTCCCTTCAAAAATCGATTTCGTGCAACTTTGCCGGAAAATTCATATTTGAGAGGCTTTCCGAGAGGAGAAGCGTCAGAGCTGGATGATTCGTATCTGATAGACATCTTGCTAATATTTTATATGCTGATAGTATTGATGAAGTATGAAAGAATGTAATCTAAGCAAAAAATACTCATCAAGTTCTTCGGGGGACTTTTTTATATTATGTCCCAGCATCGCTCTCAAACAGTAGTGCCGGAGCTCAAGTGGATACAAAATCGTGTACATTTCGAATCATGTATATTTCAAATCAGATTTGGATTTCTAATTGTACGGAGTATGGAGCATTTCCTCAGTTCGATTTAGACGCCATGAAGGTAACTGACCAATAAAGAAAGGAAATGGGAGGGGCATTTGTAGAAAATGCCATGAAAATGACGGTGAAAGGGCCACATGAAGGTTGGAGCGGAATTTTTAACCCTTCGGCTTTTGGTGACAACATTGGAACTAGCCTGTGGGTTTTCTCCACTATCACTAGTAATGGAAGTTTCTCGAGGGTCATTCGGTGGCCAACTTTGCCTCGGATGATATTGTTGTACCGAATGCCTTCTGTCAGACTGTGTAGAATAAATTGACTGGAATTAAATGAAAAATGGAAACGGGGAACGAATATAAAAGGGGCTTTTCGCTTGAAGTCAGCACAAAGTGTCATCTACAAGATATCATCATAGATAATTGAAATTTCTGAACTTAAAATCCTTTCTATATTTGATCCAATGTCTTCATATCCAGTCCTTGAAAGAGATAAAATACATATGACATATAAATAAAATGATTCAGACTTTTCAGTGCATGATGCGTTCCATGTATCCCAAGTTGATTACCAATAAACGCCAATTTACACCGCCGTGATGTTCAGCTCAATGCGTACCCCAAAGCCCATTACAAATCGAAATCTCATGCCGCTCGAGGGGAGGTGATTTTTATTGTTTCGCCATTTCGTTGGAAGACGGTAATGATGTCTCAAAATTGATTTATCATGATGCTTCGTTCATCTGAAGCATGTGTCCCATCTTCTCAATCTACAAAGTACGCATGTTAGATCAAATCCCATTTCACATACGCTTTAGAGTATAACATACCTTAGTTTTTAGATACCCACCAACCTCTTGACTGCGAATTCCACCAGTCTTTCCACTCCATGCCAAAGGAACCATGGCGACTCTCTCTTTTACCACCACTTCTCTATTTGGCCCCTCGACTGCTCGTATCTTATCCGGATTGTTCGTCAAAAGTTTGATTTCCTCAACTCCTAAATCTTTCAACATAGCAGTAGCCAATCCATAACTGCGAGCATCTGCCGGATGTCTCAGAAGTAAATTTGCTTCTACAGTATCAGATCCCAAATCCTGTAAATTGTATGCCTTCAGTTTCTCTCCCAAGCCAATACCTCTTCCCTCTTGTCGCAAATAGATTATAATCCCTCCCGCGGCTTTCCCGGACGAATCGGGTAAAGACATTAATCTTGCAGCTTCATCCAATTGCTCACCGCAATCGCATCTTGCAGACCACACAGTCTCTCCCGTGTAACACTCCGAATGAATTCTAACCAGTGGTGCCTCGGACTTGTCTTCTTGCTTTTCTCGATCCGTCGCCGAAGGAGGCATGCTACTTGTAGTGCGACCTGGAAATAATCTTCCCGTGTATGCCCCACGTATCAGCCTGTCCATTTCTGTTTCTCCTTCTCGTACGGCATCCAAGCTTTGACTTCGTATTTTGTTTCCGAATACTATGGCTAAATGCTCTTTGTTGTCCTCATCGTTTTGGTATAGGTGCAGGAACATTTCAGTTCCAGTAGTTGTAGGGATTCGTGCGCGAACTACACAATTAACCTCTGGTAGTTTCTCTAACAGTTTTGGTTTTTTTGAACCACACCCTCCAGCTGGTGTACTCGAGTCTACAGGTACTGATCTTGCAGGACGATGTGCGAGAGATGAAGGTGTGGATGTGCCGGGTGTGGAAGGGGGTGTAAAGGCTGGGGAGACGAGATCGGGTAATGATTCATTGTGATCGGAAAGCTGCGAGGACGTATCATCACGATGAGTGAGAGAGAGATTAGATACATCGAGTTGATTTAAATCGAGTTCTGATATTGGGCGGGAGACTGGTATTGGGCGCGGTGAATAGAAGGGTGGGAGAGAGGGGACTTCGTCCGATGATTCATGAGGGGTATGGCTCCATTGTTGAGGACGAGTAGAAGATGAGGTTGCATTGAGGTCCGGCATTTTGGATGTGAAATCTGATTCAGAAGACAGTAATTCTCATCAAGAGTAGAGGATTAATAAAATCAAGGTATTATTAATGCTGTAATTATGATTGCTAGAGTATGATGAAGTTTGAATGTTGATTAATTGTGTGATCCAATGGACGAAGTGAGTGATAAGTTATAAAAAGTTCCGATACCCCGAGGTCGGGTCCAAATCATTGACAAAATTATGGGGCATGGGCTACCAATTATACTAAATTCTAGAAGGCTGACTGAAGGCTGAGTGAGCAAGAAGCATAATGTCGCCGGGAATTAATAAATGATTACCAATTTGTGTATTAGATATCAAATAATGACCGACAACATTGAATTCAAATATATTGTTTGTTTATACCTCTTGCTTCTTTTGATCTCGGATGTAAAGTATGATGAGGTCAGTTTGAAAAATATATCTAGACTTTATTTGCCTGCTTCTCAGTGCTCACTCTCCATCCTTAATGATCCGGATCAAAGCGACTATTCCGAAACAACTCCGAGTTACCTGTGCTTTGTCAATACCGCAGAAATTCGGATCTACCGCATATCGTACGTTGCAGTATATTACACCTAGGTTTCCTCTACTCGAGACTCCATTGCGGCATGGTGAAATGAATTCTAATCGTGGAATTGTGATGAATTGCCATGTATTTCTAAGTTTTGTTCTCCGTGGGCTTTCGTTCTATCGAGGTATATCCATTATTCGTATGGCCACGAATTCCATTCGTCTCCATTCAAGCTTCTAATCTGAGCTCTTCACGCCGCTATGTAAATCAATCTTGCCATCGATTTCCGCTCTCTCCAAAGCACCAGGTTCTTCGGGATTGATACCCAAGCGTGCAGCAGCCTCAATCTCGACCATAGGTCCCACAAACCATTTCCTGGCCCAAACCAACCACGCTCCACAGGCCCCGATAGCAATAATTCCCACGGCCACTACGGTGTAGTTTACAGTTTGACTTGTTACCGGATTGGTCGTAGGGAGACAAAAGATCACTGTAATAAACCCTATCCAGGATACAGAAATGAAAGCGACTGGCTTTGAGAAGATTCCAAGATTGAATGGGCCTTTCCTAGCGTTGAACTCCTTTGAATAGATGAGACCGATGAGAATAGGGGTTCCGTATGATATGTACAGACCAATGGTAGCTATACTAGTCGCGGCAGCAAAAGCTACACTGGAGCCAAGAGATGGGAGTGCTAGGCAGAAAGCAAGAGTTGCTGCGAGCCAAACTGTTCGAATGGGAGATTGAAAACGATCATCGACTTTGTGAAAAAATTCAGGCTAATCTGTTGTTAGCGTTGACTAGTAGTTAATGAAGGAGCGGAAAGGAAAACTTACGATTCCACCGTCTCTAGCAAACGCAAACATCATTCTCGAGTTTGAAGTCATCGAAAAGAGCCCACAATGCCAGACACAAATCATGATCAGACACATTAACACAACCGCTCCATCGGTTCCAAATATATCAACGAAAATTTGAATAACTGGTTGACCATAATCACTTGCAATTGTGTTATCAAAGTCTTGAATACTGAATAAGAAGCTCAATATAACGAAGAATCCGAAAAGGGCCGAGAACCCAACAGAAGAAATAACACCGATGGGTGCACTCCAAGACGCATTTCGAGTCTCTTCAGACAAGTGGGCTGATGCATCAAACCCAGTGAGCGTGTATTGAGCCATGAGAACACCACAGCAAGCCACATATGCTGGAGATGCTCTAACACTCCATCCTGGACTTGGATCTACACCTGTTCCGTCGTAGAATTTGGCGAAAACAAACTTGGCGCTTTGATGAGTAGGAGCTTTTGCCAGAACAGCAATAGCTATCGCAGTTACGCCCAATGAGTGAAGTGCGATGGATGTGTTGTTTAGGTATCTCAATACATGAACACCAAAGGTATTGACGATGCCATGAGAAATGAGAACAGCTGCATATATGCCAATTGTTCTTGGGGCACTTGGAACATATGATGATTTAATTGTCGCAGTTGTTGAGATGAGACCCGCGAGACCGAAACTAATTCCTGTAGTGACGGCAACTTGACCGAGGAAGTTGAACCAACCAGTAATCCAACTAGCAAACGCCGAATGATTTCTCGGCGCAAGAAGGGCTGCCCAATAATATGGTCCACCAGCTGTAGGTATAGCAGAGACAATTTCTGCCATGCTCAAAGCGATCATGAAAGTAAATACGGATACAATTATCCATCCAACAGACATAACTGATTGTGTCAGAAATTTACAACGCAGAACAAGAGAATAGGAAACACATACCTCCAGGACCACCGGTGATCAAGCCATAAGAAAACAGTGTCGTTATCCCAGTGATGACGGACTAAAGCGATGTTAGCAAGACTTCCTGTAAGATGAAAAGGTCGTTTGCAGCATTGATGATGCTTCACATAACAACGCTTGACAATGAATTTGCAGGGCCATGTTCGGTCTCGTACTTTGCCATACCAGAGACCCAACTCGCATGTCTAGACAAAATACAACTTACAATGATACTGAAAGAAATCCCAAAGTTGTGCATAAGACCCCAGTCTCTCCTCAATTCCTGTTTGTATCCAAACTCTGCCAATTCCTGTTCATCATGTTGGTCTACCCGGGACACTCTGGAAGCTTGTCTTCCAATCGAAAGTTCTGGATCAACTTCCATTGCGCTTCAAAGACGCATGAATTTAAATTACAAGAGCTTTCTGAAAAAGATAAATTCTATGCTTTGATGAACAAATGACTAGTATAAAGACCCTACATGTAATTCTAGACGGCATCACCGAGTTCTTATGCACCTGCCAGCATTACATGTTGACTGATTGTGGCCCTGTCAGCCTCCCGATAAGAAGCTCTGGGGAGTTCATTTGGCTAATCCATGATTGGTCAATTTGGGGGAGGTATTGACTTAGCGATAGTGAACGATAGGAGGATGGGAGAATCAAGTTAAGCTTGCAAGCCCCCGGTCGTAAGAAATGATCCAAGCTTATGATTGATTATGAGTCTTGACTAACAACATGAACTTAAAGGGTGGGATAAGGGTTGTGGACATAGATGAAAGCGAGAGCTGAGAAGAGATAAAGTCATACATTTGAGATTGTGACGAAGATTAGGAAGATGTTAAGTTCAAAACTTAGATGGGACCCTCAGGAATCACTCACAGGACTTACTATCGGTCGGATCAAATTGCCTGAAGAGGAATGGCTTTATGATGTCCATATATCGCAGAAAGACTTCCAAACATGCAAGGAGAAAAACCTTTTTTCATTCATGAAGTCGTTACTTGGATATATCCGTCCTCTCAGTTAACCTTTAGAGCTTCTCTTTTCCATCCGCATCTTCTTTGCCTTGCAATTCACAGAATGCCTTGAATGTGGTAAATTCTTCATCCTCGGCCTCAAGTATTACCTCTGCTGTAGCTCCAACAAAGTAGACATACCCAGGTTTAACTTCCTCGACCTTAGGTCCGACACTGATCTTACCATTTCCAGTCGTGCAAATGAATATGCTAGGGCCGGCAATCTGTTCGAATGTTGCTTTTGCTCCCTTTTTCTTAAGATCGGTTTTCACCACGCTGAACTCTGCAATAGGTGGATCATAGAGTGTCGCTGACGATCCAGAAGAGTATGCAGTCGCATTGAGAGTGGCATATGGATAATCCACTGGTTCCATCTTTTGTTCAGAGATAGGCGCATATGAGTAAGTCAACATCGAAGTCAAAGTATCGACGTCCTTGAATTTCGGTGTGAAACCAGCTCGAACTACATTATCGGATGCAGCCATACATTCAATGATATCGCCACTCAGGTATGCATGGATATCATCTGCCTTCAAAAACATTGCTTCTCCAACTTCGAGTTTGACGTAGTTCAAGAAGAACTGTACGAATAGTCCAATGTCCCCGGGAAACTGTTTGTTCAATCTGATAACAAGATCTGCGAGTTCCTTTCCTTCATTTGAAGGGCCCCCTCCTCCAGCGAAATTATCCCCTTCTTCTTCCGCTGAAGCAACTAATTCCTTACTAGCGGTCTCAACATCTTCTTTCTTGGCATTCATCAATGCAGTAAAAACTTTTTGTAGCGCTTTCTTATTCTTTGCCTCGTCCTCTGATTTATCTGATAATTCTTGTCCCTTGACAGCAGACTGGTATTCTTCCGCTTCAGACTCCCCAACTAATTTCTTCAATGACGGAATTGTTGAGAGGAAATGCGAAATTTCTGCAAGAGGTCTAAATCCGCAGAGTCCATCAAAAGGTGTAATGGCAATTGTCATTTCAGGTTTGTGATTATCATCTGGGTAGTTTTTGCTGTCCTTTTGATGTAACTGCTCCGCAAGTGTCTTATTTGGATGCGCTTGAATGCTGAGTGCTTTTCCTATCGAAAGTACTTTGAATAGGAATGGTAACTTTTGGCCAAATTTATCACTGACATCTTTAGATAAGAGTGCTTGATTGTCTTGAATGAGATCGAGGAGCGTTCGTTTTGTGGTAAGGTCCTTGGAAGGATTTGAAGGATGTGTTCCCATCCACAACTATGAAGATAGAATGAGTTATAAGATTATGTACATGAACATGAAGAATTACTTACTTCAGCATATGGCTTCTCTTCTTGAATAGAAAAATCATCGGCAGGTGTAGCAGCAGCAAATTTTGCAGCCGCTGAATCATTTCCCACCTTACCCCAATCATAGCTATTGACTCCGCATTGAAGCCTGATTAATGGAACTTGCATTTTGGCTCTGGGGAGAGGAATTGATGAGAGTAGGTTGTTTGATCCGTTGTATAAGAAATCTGACAAATCGGTTCTTCTTTTCTTCGTTCTAATAATTGACAGTGATACTGGCAAAGTATTGTTGAGGAAGAGTATGGAGGATGTATTTCAGAATAGTTCTGTTCAACATAGCTTGCACGTCACCCAACGAGCCAAGTTCAATCGACCCCGCGCTAACTCCACCAACCAATTATTATAGGATGATTGACAAGGCTGATGTAAATGCTGATCTCAAGCATGATCTAGTAGGTACCACTAATAATAATTCCCTATCGATTTTCTTCTACTCCATACATACCATACATATTTACATACCGAGATATCTACTATACTACCTAGGTGCATACCTACATAATCCTGCTTGGGTACCTGGACAGGTATATCTATCAGCATTTGTATTTGTATTTGAATTTGTATTTGTATTTGCATTCTGTGCTAGCGTCTCCTATTATTGTTAATATTTTGTGGCATTCTGACCAATCGAAAGAAAGGATTTACCTAATCATTAACAAGTTCCTTCAATATCTCTACTCCAGTATTCGTTTACTAGGGTCCTATCTCCTCCTACCCCGAACTTAAAGCCTCGTACTACCTAGTATCCTTTATTCACAACATTCAACGCCCATTTCTACCATTTCCTCCATACCTACCTACCCTCTACATTACTTTATCACACCATTCATCCCCTCTTTCCGCCCCTTGTTGATGCGTTTTCAATCACTTACCATATTTAACTTTCAATTCAATTTCGATTTGTAGCTTCCATTACACGATCAGACGCTCGACTTATTCCTCATTTGAAGTAGGTGCGGGTCAGAATACCCACAACCCAAGTAAGTCACCACGATCCTGGATGTTTGGTTTCTATTTTCTTCTTACAAAATGTACAAAGTCGGGATGACATGTTTACATTTCTTTACTTTTGATCATTATTTTCTTGGTTCATTGTTATTCACTCTGAGATTCCCTTGCTAAAATATGTCTAAGCAAGATAGAAAAAGCCGGACCCTGATCGATGAACTTAAGTTGACAGACGGGTACCACGAGAAAATAATGTCTGCCTCAACTGCTGGTCGACGTCAAGCGCGTGGTGGTGTTCGCTCTGGAACACATGAGAGGGGTGAAGAAATAGCCTTATGGACCGAGATCACTCAAGCTCTAGCCAAAATCAAAGCAGAAGAGAAAATCTTTGAAGCAAATATCCCGGAAGCCATCATCTCTAAAGAAACCGCTATAGCTGAGCAGATAAAGAATGGTTTACGTGAGTACGGATTCTGATTTGCAACGATGTTTGGTGTTGATGAAATTTAAGCACCTGCCATGGCCGCAATAGAAGAGCTCGACATACAAATTCGAGAAGGCGTGAAAGTCTCCGAGTCTACAGCAGTAGCCCTACGACAAACCATTGAAAAACTGTCGATACTTTTAGCCTTGATCAAAGGCAACGAAGCAGAGCGAGGTTCCAATTCCCGCGAATCTCATGGAAGATCAAGTGTTACCGACGATGTAGGATCTACCGACTCTCCTGTTCCTTCTCCGGCAGAAAACAAACATGTTCGAAAGATGGGAAATGGTAGAACCAGCAGTTTACCCCCGAAGGGAAAAGATATCTCTAGGAAGTCTGAGAACGAAGAGCCCAGTACTAGTACTAATACTGGTGGTACTGGTGGTACCAATAATAATAATACATCTACAACTTCTGGTACTAGTGGCACAAAGAAAATCGAATTCTCCAAGGGACAAGAGGTGGCATTCAAGCCGAGACCCGGTTCTCCCTTTACAGAGATGGATTGGATTCAAGGAAAGGTTGCAAAAGTTATTGGTGACGGCAAGAGTCGCAGATACAGGGTTGAAGATGTGGCTCCTGATGAAGGGAATAAATCCTCAATTCTTACCTCCGCGTCTTCTATGTGCCCAATTCCACCAGATGACGCCATTCTTGGACCCTACGAAGTTGGAAAGCGTGTCCTCGCTCTTTATCCCGAGACAACCACATTTTACCGAGCGGAAGTCAAAGCAATGCTTGATGATGGCAATAGAGTTAGGTTGATATTTGACGGAGATGAGGATTCTACAAAGGAAGTCGAACGGCGATTTGTTCTGGATCATTCAGGTTAGGAGTATAGGAATTCTTTTTCTTTAAAGGACGGACTAAAGAGGCATTGGTGGGTTGTTTGGCGTTACTTCTTTTCCCCTCTTCTCTGGAGCTCTGTTGGTACAGGAGTATTGGAATAAGGATACCCCCAAAAGCATTTGACAGTTGATATCTTACATGGGATAGATGGAGTTTATGGTGGCTATATCATTACTCTCAACAAATGTGGTGTACAGGACACAAGTATGTTGTAACTGGGCGTTTTGTTCTTTTAGATGACGGAGAGGGCCATCCGGTGTTCGAAAAGTGCAACACAATGTACCCTTCTCTTCGACACTGAAGCGGATAAAATTAATTCAAGTAGCAATTTCAAAGGGTTTAATATTTCTTGTCTCAATTTTCGGAGAGCAGCGAAACTGTGCCCCTCATCCACATGTTTTAGATATCCGGTACTCAATTTAGAGTATCATCCGAATAGCCTCATCAAGCCGGGGTGATTTCGATACTTAAGATAGACGTTATTGTGTAATAGAGAGGAACACCACCATACGCTTAGACAATTGTATCTCGTTTATACACTCATTACGGAGTAAACGTGTGTTCCCTCGGTCGACTTCAACACATTGTACCCCTTCCAAATTTGGTTCATCTCAAAATAATATCCGACAATATGGCCTCCAAATTTGTGGTTCGAGCCATCTTCATTCGTTTGTGAGTTTGTTTAGGTACCTAGTGTAAAGGGAATATAGCCAGAAAGCTTCATCAGTTCATTGACAGATTTAACTGATGATGGCTGACATGGAGGAGAGGGCGATATAAGTAATTTTGAGAACTGAGTGATTACTCATCACCTTCTGCAGCACGTCCCTACGAATTTAATTTACATTTCCCCTTAAAATAAAAAAACAAAATGGGGATTGGGCTTGGGCTTGATGGCTGAAAATGGACGATAGCTGATGGATCAATCATGAAAGTATTTCGAGTACGGAGTAGGTGGGGAGGAGCAATAACAATAATCATGATAATAATACTAACAATAATAATAAAAGCATCTCTTTAATAAGTCCAATTTTCAATCTTCAGATCTTATTAAAGTTATTAGTTCTTGGTCCTAATTAGTCCTGTCCTCAGTATGCCCAGGTGTTCAGTGTTCAGTCACCTACCTACGAGCCTACCCACCTACCCACCTACCCAGTCATTTCCCATATCCGTATCAACACTTCCATCATTTGATCATCTCTTTTATTAATTGAACCTATCACTGCTCACGACTCTACTTTAATTAATCTCTAACATTGGTGATATTCGTTTCAACCTCAAAGTTCAAAGATACCATACCTCATTACCTTTTGACCTTTTACCTTTTACCTATTACCTTTTACCTGTTACCTTTTCCCTTTCCCTTTCCCTTTCCCTTTCCCACTGATCTGATTGCTTTTTCCATTGTTTGATTCTTCCGTTTCAAATCTACCCGGCGGAGCGATAAGGTTAATACCGGGAAAGAAAATCACTTCGAATATCAGAGACCTTGAACATTTTATACTTTGGATTCTCCTATTCCTTCTTATTACCCTGTTCCTCTACCTCGACCTCGACAGAGCATACCTCTACAAGGTAATCTCTCCTTTCAATTAAAAGCAAAGATACTGGCACCACAAGTCTTCTCGCGATTAATTGTTAGCCGCTTCTTCTCATCATTACGCGACTTTGCTAACTCGTACCTCCTCCATCTCTGAAGGTTCCCTCCTCCACCTTTAATTAGAGCCCATAGCCATAGAAGAGACCAAGCGACAATCCTTTGAGACTCAACTCCCTCTCCTCTCCCCTTCTTCATCAACCATCAATCATCATTTCAGCCTCGCCTTGTAATAAAAGCCCCCCAAAAATTGGACCGTCTTTTTTTTCAATTCATTTGGTCTGGTCTACCCTGCCTGATCCGATTATCTTTGCATTGGAACTTTATCATCCTCTTCCATCGATCCACCGTCACTCCTTTCCAAACATTATTTTACACGCATATCATCTAGCAAAACCTCACAGGTCCTTTTAGTCGCCTCTAACTCTGTGCCGTTATTCGAATTGCCCATACTTCAATTAATATCGTACATATCACACGCACATCTCAAATTCTGTCAATATGGGAGGAGCTATTTCTAAAATGATGGGCAAGATCTTCGGATCCAAGGAAATGCGCCTGTTGATGTTGGGTCTCGATGCTGCTGGAAAGACAACTATTCTCTACAAATTGAAGTTGGGTCAAGATGTTACTACAATTCCTACTGTTGGATTCAACGTGGAGACGGTGACATACAAGAATGTCAAATTTAATGTCTGGGATGTCGGTGGACAAGATAAGATCAGACCTCTATGGAGACATTACTTCAGTGGTATGTACTCGATTGTCTGCCAAATATCTTTTGATTTGAAATACACGAGTCGGAGCAAATTCTAACAGAAATTTGTCGAAAAATAGGTACTCAAGGACTTATCTTTGTGATCGATTCCAGTGACAGAGCACGCATAGCAGAGGCACAACAAGAGTTACATCGCATTATCAACGACAGAGAAATGCAAGATTCATTACTCCTAGTCTTCGCGAACAAGCAGGACATTGCAGGTGGTGGGTGATACAGTTCAATGGTTGCAACCTTATTGCAAGTGAGAAGCTGACAATCGAGAAGCTATGAAGCCACCCGAGGTCACAGAACAACTTAAGTTGAACGAATTGAGAAACAAGGTTTGGTTCGTGGTACCAAGTTGTGCCACTACCGGCGAGGGGTTAATGGAAGGACTGGTATGTGTTCTATTTCTTCATGCAATGCATCAATTGCACATCGCAGATGATTTTGTGACTATGCTGACGTTGAGACTTAGGCTTGGCTCTCAAAAACAATTGAAGGAAGACCTGCTCCGCAAACGAAATAATAGTGCCGTTGACTGTCCAACCCAGGACGTATAATATCATTTCTCAACAATCAGATTTCACCACCCCTTTATACCTCACCTCAGTCTACACGATATATCCTCCTCCTACGAACATGTCCCTACACGAAATATACATACCCAGACAGAATAATTGGCTCTCAGTAGCATGTCATATTGATTCACCTGAGTCACATCTACTCGTTCACGACATTCAACTCCATAACGGCCCCTTATTCCTGTCATCTCGTCATTTCCACCAGCCTATCTTCGGTTACATCTCGTACCATCCTCTAATCTCAGGATTTCCTCATATCTCTCTTTGTTAATTTCTGACTTGCGCATGCAATAATGCGCACTTCTTGCTTTTTTTTATGGTGAGGTTGTTCATATGTACGTTACCTACGGGGATGGCGGCGATACCAATAGTTTTCTTTATCCTTTAATTCACTATTGATTCTTTCTTGTTTTCATTCTTCCATCAGGTGGCGCGACGTGGAGAGACAGGCTTGAGGTTTCTACTCAAGGGAGGGGAAACTGGAACGATAGGAGGAAAGGAAAACAAAAAGGTTGTAATATTAAGCGAGTGACGAAGAGGTTTAGGACACGGGAATGGCAAGGCAGGGCGGAGCTGAACTGAGACCATGAGGGAAGTAAAAAAAATTACCATCATACCTACAAAAATGAAAACCTTGTAATTCTAGCTATTGTACAGATACCAAATTCTCGAATTTTGCGCAAGTGACTTTCGATCGGACTTGTGGTCAGAATTTCACCAAGGCCACAATTTCAAGTGCTCTAGTTGTTGCGGATGAGATGTTCGTCTATATTCTATGCTGTCGATATCTGTATTTCACAAAAGCAAACCACCTGAACTCCATTCGCCGCCGTTCGCCGCCATACTCATTTCCCAATTCCGACCTGTACCCATTCTATATACAGTCAACGAGAGACCATTCAAAATCCACAAGACAGTCCACAAGGACCCTTACATCTAAAAATCGGCATCCTCACTCCACTCCCATCGGCCAAAATTGTTCCCCCAAATCTCTCACCTCCAAACGACCACGATTTTGCCCACCCTAAACCGCTATTTCTTTTGCGGGCCCTTTCTCGCTCCTTGGCCTTCTCTTTATCCTCTCTTGCTTCTGTTCTCTTAGCCGATCCTCGTTCTTGCCAGGATTTAGTTGGCTTCTTGTTGTCGGGGTCTTTGGCTGATGCAGAGGTTTTCTGCTTCTGCTTGAGCTTTTCCTTCTTCTTCTCTTTCTTTGAGTAGTCTTCAGGGTCGAGAAATGGATCAGTCCTGTTTTCACCATCATTGAAAGAATTGGACCGGTAATCATAGTCATCATCAACTTCGATGTCATCGCCATTGTTGTTGTTCGTTCGGAAGAAAGAAAAAGAAGGAAAGGAGAAGCGCTTTCTTTGGTCACTCGCAGGTTTTGTGGATTTCTCAGCTGCTTCGTAAATGTTGTCTGTGCTATTTGTTGGCGAATATGTATTGTGATTTGTTGCAAAGAAAGTGCCGGATGTACGAGGAGGTGGAGAACTAGATTGTCGTGGTTGTGGTTTTACAGTCTCGTAGCCTGTAGGTTGATTGGATGCAAAGAATGGAAATGACCATCGTGATTTCTCGTTGGCTTCGGCTTTCTTGGCTTCTGTTTCTTCGTAAATTGGATTGTAGCGAGCATGAGAAGACGACGTTCGAGTGAAGGTGTAGGGCCGACGCATTTTGAAAGCTTGAGATGCGATTTAGAAGAGATGATGCAGATTGGAATACTATGTTGAGCCCGATTCCTTAAAAAAGTTACGGGCATCTAGAATGGTCGTCTTGAGGGATTGACTGCCACCAACTGGGGAACTCTCGCAATTGACAGCCCTTTTTGGACTGATTCAATCGAAATCCGAGATCCAATGGCGAAATGATAGTACTACCAAGTTTTGGGAATCTAATGAGACGAATTTGAATTATAAGTTATTTCTGCTGCATTTATTCATTCAAACTCGATGCCCAGATTACGCCCCTCGTCATCGTCATCATATGATGATCATCGAAAAAATAACCCGAACCGTTTCCCGTCATTATGCTCAAATTTCGAAACTTAGTTTTGATATGAGTTATTATATCAATTCATGCCAATGAAGTGCTCGCTTGGGAATCCCTCCAAAAATTGCCAGCAAAGTCGACAAACTCGCATTGTGGCTGTGCAACTTTTCTTTTGTGATTTCCCTACCCCTCCACGTTTTAGACTTTTGGAATTCGAACCCTGCCGATCTAAGGATCCGAAGGTACCATTGTCACAATGGTACCCTACTCAATGCTGAGATCGCCAAAGAACATTTAATTGATAAGACTGATGGTACCCTGCATAGATTCAATAATGTTTCGAGATTTATTCCTTCAATCTTTTCGCTGGTCTTGAATCGTCCGGTAGCCCACTCCTCTTTGTGCCAGGTAAACTTCCCGTTCGAATATCATTATCATCCTGACTAACCCTCCTGTGCGGATATTCTGTTTTGACCCCCTCGAAGACGTTGGCACTAACTTTATCCCCTGTACTGAAAAATGGATGTGTTAATGCTGCTTGCGCTGTTAATCGTTTTTCAGGGTCATATTCAAGTAAGCTGCTCAATAGTTTGTACCCCTCACCACCTAGACTCGAATTCGATACTGGAACCGAAGTGGGGGATGAATTTATGGTTTGATAATACCACTTCTCCAAACTCGAGTATCCAGCTTTTGCATGTCCACTAGCTGAGAGAGTGGAAAGTTGCGAGTATTCCGGCATGTGTACCAGATGTGGCCATTTTTCCTTAGTTGGTAGTCCCATTATGTCGACAATCTTTTGCATTTGATTCCTCTGGAATGGTACCGTTTTCTTACTATCCATCTTCGCTTCTTCGCCTTTAAATATTGGTCTGAGGGAAAGGAGTTCGGCAAAAATGCACCCAATAGCCCACATATCAATGGCCGGAGTGTAATGCTTTGAACCTAGTAGGAGTTCCGGGGCTCGATACCATATCGTAACTACAACTTTGTCACCAGAGAAAAGAGAATGCAATGGTTTGTTGAAAAGTCGAGCAAGTCCCAAATCGCCAATTTTCACTTCCCCTGCAGAGGATACCATGATATTGGCAGGCTTGAGATCACGATGAAGTACCCAATTCGCATGAAGGTATTGGCAGCCATTGAGAAGTTGAAACATGATGGATTTAACTGTTGGAGCAGGAATGGGATGGCGAGTAGGTTGAGTATGATGATGGATAATCTGAAGAAGGTCATGTTCGGCATATTCAAACACCATGAAGATACACTTGTCTTCAAGAATAATTTCAATGAGTCGGATGACATTCATGTGACTCAATTCTGAACACAGTGCCATCTCTCGAACTGCTGATTGTGAAATACCCGTATATTGGATTTGTTCCCCTTCCTTATCTAAGATACATTAGTATATATATAACAGTGCTGATGTGGATTTGTTTGTGTTTACCTGGTTTAAATTTCTTAATGGCAAATTCCCCAGGTCGTCCATCTCGCCCAACTGCTTTATAAACTCGTCCATATGTACCAGAACTAATGAAACCAATGACTTTATATCGATCAATAACTCGAACTTTACTTTGGTAGCCCAAGTTAGGATTGGCTGATCTTTCAGCTGTACCTGGGATTTGTCAGTTAGTTTTGTAAAGTCTGATTTAAGTAAGATAACAACGAACTACTAGGGGTGTAGAATGGAGGAGGTCTTATTGTAGGATACATATTGAATCGATATAAAGTAATTTGAGATAGAAATTCAAACGATAGATGCAATGATTTGATATTTGATGAAGCAAGAGATCAGAGTTTTCAAACCATATTGGAAAGAGCTATTGAGGTGCCGATCAGAGATGAAGATTTTGATAGGATATGCCTCTGGTGATGAGGAAAGTAGCCAACCAAACGAAAAAATAATAAATGTATCAAGTAATATTGTGTGAGAGATAAAAGAAAAAGTCATATATCTACATTACCTTCAAAAACAGCTTGAACAGATCTTTTTATTTGAGTTCTAGATGCGGAGATCGAGGATGGGCCGCCGGATGACGGTGGGTTAGATGTCAGGCTCATTATTGTTATTGTGGATAACGCGTGTGCGTACGGCGGGGGCGGCGTACTTCGGCTTGGTTTTGCTTGATTAGTCTGCAGGTTCAGTGGGCATCAAAATCTGTAAATCTTCCAACCAAGACAATCTTAGACAAGCTCGTATGTGGGCAAAACAAGGGGAATGGCAATAGGAAGATTTCAAATGCGCGTGTGAGTGTGGGTGTGAATAGCAGGTAGCGTAATACTGCTTTGCAGTAGTGCAGGGTCGGTAAGATGCAGTCGAGCGTAATTTAGATGCAGGTTGTAAGTACAGTCGGTTGCATCAAGCGTGTCAAAGAATCCCTTCACAATTAGCTTCGTATCGGGGAAGATGATCAAATTTGCCGCGAAAAAGGCTACCTGGTCGTACAATATGTATGTAAGTCGATATGAGGTATAGTACGAGACGCGCTTGATATCAAAGTTCCAGAAAAGGACAGTTGTGAATTAAGGTCTTAGTAACAGCATCGGCATGGAAGGACGAGACATATGTCGGCCGATCAAATTCACAAATCTCGAATGATAAGACGAGACAATTTCAGATGACCTAAACGAAAAAGACATGCAATTGTAATGTAGCTAATGCGATGTGATGTGTTGTGATATGGGAAACCCCGGGGCTGAGAATTGAATGATGAATGAATGATGATTGACAATATCTGCGGTGATTCGACACAGCGATGATAGGGTCACACGAGATAGTTGTGCACCTGCGTCTTTGAACGGTTGATGTGTAACCCCCAAGCAATATTCAAAGATGGGAGGGGATCTGTAGGGCGAGATTCGGAGATAGCGGTCAGATGAGATGACCTAAAGAGGGGAAGCCTTTTGGATCAACGGGTAAAGCCAAGTTAGATCTATACTGACTTGCGGGATAAAGAGCGATTTGACAGTTTTGGTGTTTCGGACGCGGTGCTGTAGGTGGACTGTACTGTCACTTGTAAGATACAGATAATTTGTAAGCATTCGTTGTTATCGACACTTCCTTCCACGTTCCCACAGGTATCCGGAGTGTCCGTATATCCAGCCGAAGAAATTGGCCTGTTCTTGTTTCGCAGGGCCCTGTTTTTGTAGAGTAATTTGTATCCTGTATCGTTCTCAGCGGGGTGCAGTAGCATGTACCAACAAGTTGGGATAATAAGAATGCAGAAATGGGGGAGGTGGAACGGTGTAGGGTGTAGGGTGTAGGGTTTTTGGAAGGGCCGTAGACTGATGGTAGGAAGTAGGTATTGAATGATGATGTACAACAGTTTACCAGTATTGAATTCAAAGGATCAAACAGAATTGGTAGAATGACTACCTAGTAGTATCTCAAGTGAGAAAGGGGAAAAAGAATACCTACAACTGTGTACCAACTAATAACTGTGTAGAAGGTACTCCGTGGATAGCTTTCACATCAAAACATCAATCCTTATCGATAATGTCGGGTCTACTTATTAGCGAGCCTAGGTATGTAGCCGCGACCAACACAGCTACTTGCATAATTACACAAATAACGTTCATAACTCCCGAGGCCCTCATGACGTTTCAATGTTCAGGTACTGCTTCTCTACCGACACTTGACAGCAAACCACAATGAAACACAAAGCTCCTGATTCACAAACTATCGGGCCAACGCAAGCAAGCTACTACATACTAGCATTCCAGTCCTGACATGGGATAAATTTATCAGGTCATATTGTATATACTCTTAGCAAACCTCACCATTCATTTGCAACGCATGAATTATTCCCATTAACTTCTTATACATTTTGGACTGAGTTCAATATGGCCCCAGGAGGCATGAGACAATGTATTCAGGATATCACTCCCTACCTACTTTTCCTCATTTTTATCTCGACCCTTGGACCTCTACAATTTGGCTTTCATTTGGTATGTAACATCATTACTTTCATGCTGATGCCAGAATCTAGCACATAGCACATCTTCACACATGCCGTCATATACTATCTATCACTTCTGCGAATAATAGCTAACTTAACTTCTTCAAGTCTGAATTAAATGCTCCTCAAGATGTTATTACATGCAAGAAACAAAGTCGTGTCGAATCAACTGTTCGTACCGGACTTCCACAATGTATCCCTATGACCGAAGCCGAATTTGCCGCCCTTTCGTCACTCTTCGTTTTAGGTGGATTATCAGGAGCACTGGGTTGTGGCGCCGTGTCGACAAGTTATGGAAGATTGTTTGCCATGAGAATTACAAGTGTTTGTTTCATAGTAGGGTCAATTTTGGAAATCTTCGCCGGCACAGTTCCAATGATGTCTATTGGCCGGTTCTTTTCAGGCATTGGTGCTGGAGCATCGACTGTCGTCGTGCCAATTTACATTTCAGAGGTTGCACCGCCTAAGGAAAGGGGATTGTTTGGATCCATGACACAAATTACCACGAATGTAGGCATCCTACTTACTCAGGTTCTGGGTTATTATTTGAGTAGAGGGTCGAAGTGGAGAATCATATTGGCAGTTGGAGCTGGACTTGGATTGTTACAAGGACTTGGGTTGTTATTCATCCCAGAGAGCCCAACATGGCTTGCCGCACATAAAGACACACAAACAGCCACGAGAACCCTCCAGCGAATTAGAGGACATGGCTATTCCATTGAGGAAGAGATTCAACACTGGGACATTAAGCCATCCGAGGAAGAAGAAGAGCGTCTTTTACTTGACCCAGAGCTGACTAGAAGGGACTCTGTTGCCAGCAAGTCATCCTCACAGAAATCCATTCCTAATGTTGGATTCTTTCAAGTCATTAAAGATCCCTTCTATCAACCTGCAGTCATTGCCGTCATTGGTATTATGTTTGCTCAACAACTTTGTGGTATCAACAGTATCATCATGTATTCCGTATCACTTTTGTCTGGCCTTCTCCCCGTCTCTTCATCTATCATTACAATTCTTATTTCGGTAGTTAATCTTGTGGCAACTGTCGCATGTGCACCATTAGCCGATAAAATTGGTCGAAAAGCATGCCTTCTCCTTTCCATAACTGGTATGGGCACCATGTCTCTTTCATTAGCATTATCCCTTCGTTGGGAAATCAAAATTCTCTCTGCGATTTCAGTCATCCTATTTGTCACATTTTTCGCCACAGGTCTTGGTCCTGTTCCTTTCATGATGGCATCAGAGTTCGTCGGTCCAGAGGCTGTGGGTGCGACGCAAAGTGTAGGTTTGGCAGCCAATTATCTTGCTACTTTTCTAGTAGCCCAATTTTTCCCCATAATAAACTCGAGCTTGAACAAAGCTTTAGGGGGTGTGGGATGGGCGTACTTTATATTTGCAGCGTTGGCAGTATTGTGCGGAATATTTGTTAGTTGGAAAGTTCCTGAAACTAGAGGCAAGAAAGATGCCGATGAAGTCTGGGGAAGACAGAGAAGAGTCGATTGAATAAGAATGACAAGCTCTTAGTATAGGATGCACATGATATTAAGATTAGCTCGGCGTTAGGTGTTGATACTTTTTAACATATATTCACAACTTATTTCAAAGCAGAAGCTGTATTGTATAGTTGGCATCGGACTTGTAATCACTCATGATCTATCATTCTGTGCTAGACATTTCAGTTCTTCATTAGGACCTTTGGAGACAACACCAGGTGGCCTGATTTTTCATATCAATACCACCATCCTCAAACCTTTTTTCAATGCTTCACAATTCTTCGTTGTTACTTCACCTTGAGCCAATTTTACAAGTCAAACAATCATCAAAAAGATCTTAAGTATATGTAGAATTAAGCCAAACCAACATCAATGTGATATTAGAGTCTTGTGGTAATTCATTTGGATGACTTGAATGTCCAAAGCGGGGAATACACATGTCCCAAGTTTTGAATGATATTTTTGACTATCATGCCTGACAATCATCGAAAAGATTTTTTCTACTCAGGCGAAATATTATTTCAGAACGTTGGTCTTACCTTGAGGATAATTTGCCATGGAAAATCTCTGCTGAAAATTTCTTTCCAATTGTGCTGTAACTCCACTCCAAAAAGCGCCAACAAAGAAGCGAAATATACATGCATCATGTTTGGAGCGAAATTCTCGCCTCGGCTCATCATCTAGCTACTTGGTTGCTTCATTACGAGACAGTGATTAAGAGCCAAATTCCTGCCAATCTTCCGCCAAAGCCGCCACTTCCACAGCCCTCCAAGGTTAGCATGGAAATTGCTCGTGGGATCAGCCACCATATCTCTGCCTGAACCCTCGTGTATTTTCCCCTACGTCGGAGCCACCCACATCTCGAGATTCAATATTCCTTTTGGCGCTGGGGATGAATCGATTTCCATCATCAAAAATAGCGGAGATACTCAAGTCCAACGCACCACCTATATGTATGTTACTCAGACTGCACGAGGCCAGTCCCAAGAGGATGGAATCTTGTCCCATAAGTAATATACAGTAAGTTTCTATTAGTGTACATCCACAGAAGCCCCTAAGGTGCCCATAGTATATCGAGTTAATTAGCAATGTAGGTTCACCAGCAACCATCTCTCCCAATGTTGAAGGCAATGAAAGTATTAGGACCATTTAGCTGAGACCCGCAGCGATATTCTGCGTTGGGGTAGCATGGCCATCAAGATAACTCGTTTCATACAGTCTGATGAATGCTTGGTGGTTGAATGAAATGCAAAATTGCAAGATCATCTAGTGTCGAAGGAAGACTAGGGTTGAAGGAGGGAAGACACAATAGAAGAGAATGTCCTCATAAATGAACGCAGACATAGATGGAGTGTATAAGTTAATCTATAAGCTCGAATTGAAGAGCTAGATCTGGCGGTTGGACACGAATATAAATCTGATGCGTAATTGTTCCCAATATGTATCAGCTGAAAACCTGCTTCGATTGCACAACAGAATAGGTCTTCGCGGCCCTCGAACTTTTTGGGCTATAATTAAAACCCTCTCGGGTTTTTGCATACGCTCCGGCGTTTGAGTTATTTGGATTATGAAAAGATTCTAGTGTGTACAAAGTTCGAGTCAATGAAACGTCAGAATGGACAAAGTGACTTGAAGGATTAGATACTCGATGTAGAATCAAAGAGTCAAGAAAGATGTGTTGCACACGAAAGTAGCGAGGAACATAGTTTCTCGGATGTAGAAGGACTACCACATGTCTGTACAACCACGTTGCCAAACTTCCTTCCATAGTCCTTCCAAGTTCCAATTGATAAGATATACCTAGGTATTGTTGGAAAGCAGGTTGTGAAGAAAGCACTTGCCGATTAGTGGGAACTATTATCTAAGAATTATCGAACCGCTGCTCCATGTCGGATTCATATGGCCTTCACAAAGATGAAGTGATGCTCTTATTCTGACAGGAAATTAAGTCACATCAAAATGAGAAGTTGTCTGATTCACTAATATATCCAGACACAAAAAGCAATTTTGATTCCGTATGATAGAAGAAAGGCTAGCCCACGCAATGCATTCATATTCATCAATGACTCAATCCACCATAAAACTCCTCTCGTCTACTCCTATCTAGGTCCCAACTTTTCCAATACTCTTGTGCCTTGCTCCTCCCATTCTTGCTTTGTAATCCACATGTTCTCTTTATCAGCCATAATATTTGCCAACACTGCACCTCCCAAGAAAACCATATGCCTCCTCCTAGGAGGATCTTCAATTCGGACCTTGAACTTATTTAAGCGTTCAGGATCTCCACCGAGAACTCTTGTTAACCATAATTGTTTTAATTCTTTCTCGAGTCGTGATGGCAGACCAGGATACATAGATGAACCACCAGATAGAACGATAGCTTTGAAAAGAGAGGATCGCACATCGACATCTGCAGCTTGAATGGTGTTGAAAAGGAACTCGGCAATACCGGGTTGTTCAACATCGACGAGATGAGGTTGGAAGAGGCACTCTGGAGCTTCGAAACGTTCACTTCCAACCCGGATCACACGCCCATCAGGTAGAGTGTAACTTTCAACCAATACAGTTGTATCTTCACTCAAGCGTTGATCCAACTCAAGATCGTAAGAAACATAGCAAAGCTTCTCCTTAATTTGTCGAACTGTTTCGAAATCCGCTGTTCTGTTCAAAGCATATCCGCGACGTAATAAGAGAGCGATTAAGTTTCGTGTGACATCTCGACCGGCGACATCAAGACGACGAGTAAGATGGTTGAGAACAACTGATTCGTAAACCGGTACAATGTGTGTAACTCCGTCTCCAGAATCAACCACAACTCCAGAACTGAGACCTATTGACAATCAGTACACATAATGTCCTGCATACTGCACACCGCCCGTCGCGCAATTGAGAGAATGAAAGTACCTTGTGCATATAGAGCCAAGACTGCTTGAATAGCCACGTAAACTCCTCCAAATTGATACCTTTCAAACATGACTTCGCACATTTGTTCTCTGTTCTTTAAGGGGTTCATTGGTGGTTCTGTCAAGAGAATCTTCCGGCCAGTAGGATCGACCTTCATTTTCTCGTAAAACGTATAATCCCAAAGGTGTTGCATATCATCCCATTTCTTGACAATACCGTTTTCCATAGGATATGAGACTTGAAGCATTGTCCTCGCTGCGGCAGCTTCATCACCACACATGATGTCCTTAATGACCATGCCATCATCACCCTTTTCTTCGGATCGCAGAATTGGTCGACCGACAATAGAAGGGTATTGGAACTCTGGGAAATTCTAAAATTACAAAAAGTTAATTCCGAGGCATTTAGATGGCTTCCATCATTAATAGTCCAAAATGCCACATACCTGAGCTGCATATCCGACTTTCAGGAAACCAGTTCCTCCATCGAGGACTATGCGATTGTTGTCAGTATGGATAATCAAAAGAGGAAAACAACTTTGGTATACCTATTGGTGGTTCTGCCATAATTCCAGACTGTGGCAGATCAAATTGTAGAATCTATGTATGAAATGGTTAGAGTTGTGGTGTAGCTGGTTGGTGATTCTGACGACGCTGCGGTTGAGGTCGGAATGTATGGCCGTAACGAGGCTTAAGCTTCCCCGCCGAACCCGCTTCACTTCATGAAGCTGGTGATTGGTGAAAGTCCACTTTCGAATGTGAATATAACATTGTAAGTGAACGATCTCTTGATTTTTTGCTCTGATTCTATTTTATACATCATCTATTCTTGTGCTCGTCGAAAAGGCACATAAGGTACTAGATATTTTACCCAAATCCTACCTGCAGGCTGCGCCATAATTATTCGTACGAAGAACTCGAGGGATAACCCACTCTTGTCACAAATATGGCTACCGATATCAAACCCAAGAAACTTACAGACAGAAAGCTTCTCATCATAAATCCAAACTCTTCGAAGTCTATGACCAAGGGCCTGCAAACTCTACTTTCTACAATAAGTGATTCCTCTCAGATTCAAATTTCATTTTACACAGCTCAACTGCCAAGTCCTCCGTCCATTAACAACGAGGAGGATGCAACCCTCTCTACGCAAGTTGTTCTTTCGGACCTTACATCGACTCTTGATCAATATGATGCATTTCTTGTAGCCTGTTACAGTGTTCATCCATTGGTCACGGAACTCAAGAAGAGAGTGAGACCAAACGTACACGTGACAGGAATTTTTGAGGCCAGTGTCATGATGTCTTTGGGATTGTTGACGCAGGGTAACGGAAAGAGATTGGGTGATAGTGAAGGTGACAAGGAAGGATTTGGAATTGTGAGTACTGGAAAATACTGGGAAGAAGTGTTGGGGGCAGGTGTGAGAGATTTCTTGGGGACTCAAAAGGGAGAACATTGTGAAAGATTCAAAGGAGTAGAGACTACAGGTCTCACTGCTGGCGAGCTTCATAGTGTCGATAGTGAGATTGTCGCCACCAAAATGAAGGAAGCGGTGAAAAGATTGGTTGGGAAAAGAGATTGTTCCATCGTTTGTCTAGGGTGTGCAGGAATGGCAGGTATGGATGACATGGTTCGAGAAGCACTCGTGGAAGAATTAGGATCAGAGGATGCCAACCGAGTATATATTGTCGACGGTGTCAAAGCTGGTGTTGTATACTTGGAGGCAAATATGAAGGCATTGCCTAATGGAAGTGGCTAATAAACACTGACTCCCCGAAACAGATAGCTTCGACACTGCACTCTTGTAATTGGCTTGACCTTACAGCAAATTAATCACTCCCACAAAATTGATGTGACTTACTTTAGACTGTGAGAATAGCGAGAAGAAAGAGATGCAGTTAATCCATACTGGTTTTGGTACAGCAATCACCGTGGAATAATGAGGTCCTGAAGGCTTTGGTTGATCTCATAGAACACGAGTGAATGATCAAGCTTTTAGAGTACAGCCCTGAGCCAGCCGTCATTTTCTCGAACTAGCTTTGGTGAATGTGTTTTCTCCAAAAGCGTAGATACTCCTGTGGGTCGTAGGCCTGCAGGACGTCTAACC